CAATTTGAGCTTGTAAGTCTCTAGGGTTGTTTTAACACCTAATGCCCTAATGCCGTCTGGTTTGGGAGTCATTGACCTAACCCTCGAGCTCAGGGATCACTAGAAAGCTTAATAGATCAACACATTGCACTATGCTTCCATCTTTGATCCTTAGGGATAGAAAAAAAAAATCGAGTGAAAAGAATAAGCGCATCTAGATCAATAAAGTTTTAATAAAAGGTCCACTCTTTGTCTTGATGATCGGTACTAGATTTGTGTGCTAATTTGAGAGTAAGAATGTAATCATTTCTTTAGTTGGCTAAGATAGCAACATATTTGATGCCAGTTCACTCAAAAAGGATTCTAGAGTTGTTTTGATTTGTATGATCATTGTCTTGATGTGTGGAGGACCAAACTTGTTTCCTTGATGTTGAGATTTAAGGAGATTGCTTGGAAATGGTTGAAAAATTACATACTTGAGGTAGTTTTCTCCCAATGCTTGTTTGCAATATTGGTGCCTCTTTTGTGAGAATGAGCTCAATGTTTATGGGTATCATTTCTGGAAACCCTCACAAGACTTCACTCATCCACTAGGGGTAACCTAGGAGTTTAAAAGGCTTGTTACATATGCTAAATGTAATCGTGTTCCCTACGAAAGTGGCATTATCCATTTATTGCTTTCTAGTTTATAGTTGTTTTGTTGTTCATTTCATTCCTTTACTTTGTAATTCATTGCTAGGGACTATCAATATTTAAGTTTGGGGGTGTGATGAGCACTAAAAAGTACGCATTTAAACCCCTTAAGCTTGGGTATTCTAGAACCTTATCCTATCTTATTTTCCATTTTTAGTCTAATTTCATGTTATTTCCCTTTTTAGGCACTTATCCCCAAAATAAATCAATTCAACTGAATTAGAGCATAAAAGAAGCAATCTCAAGCTTAGTGGAAGAAAGGAACAAAGTGGTGGAAAATAGGAATCTTCGATTGATCAGATTAAGCTCAGATCGATCTCACAGTGATCGTTCTAACCAAGCCAAGATGGATCAAGCCTCTTGTCCTTATCCTTAGGAAATTTCCATCTTCGATCGATCCAACATTACTTCGATTGATCAGACTTCTTTGATCTTATCCCCACCTACCACTTTTGTCCTTTTCCCAAAATATCCCAAAAATATCTCAGATTTGTCTTTATTCCAAAAAGGTGCCACCATGGTTCGATCGATTTGACAACCCATGTGATCGATCGAACCTCCTCAAGTGCGAGAAAAATAAAGTTCCAGCCAATTAAAAGGTGTGCTTGTGATGCAATCATTTGGAGGTCCTAATCCACGAGGTCTGACCATTGGGTGTGACACTTGAGCTACCTATATAAGGATTTTGAGCCATTTTACACATATACAATCTTAGAGAAAGGAACCATATACACAAGAGAGGTTGGAGGAATCTAGAGATTAGAGAGACACACATCATTTGGGAGTTCTTCCACTCATCTAGGGTTTTCATCAATAAGAAGAAGATCATTCCTACCATGGAGATAACCCTTAAGGGTTGGATGACTATATCAATGAGTGGCTAAACCATCCTCTTGGGGCTAGAGATAGCCCTAAGTATGCCTCCTAGACTTTAATGTTTTGTATTTTGAGGGGATTTGTGTTGTAATTCTTGTCTTGACATTTGATTTATATATGAATCTTGTTTCCACAATGATTTGTGTGGTTTAATACTTCCAATTGATCATTTCATTTTATTCTAACTTTTTGCCTTGCGTGCTTTGTATTATTTTTTTATTTTATTTATTTATTTATTTTATGTTTTTTGCTTAGCTTAGCTTGTTTCTTTGTTTTAAAGTTCCTTTGCTTCACTTTCCTTGGCTCAAGTACCTAGCCAATCAAGAACAAATACAATAAGAAAACAAAGTAAATTAAAGTAAAAACAAGGATCAAAGGAGTTTTAATTCCTAATTAAATCCAAATACGGCGTTACTAATCCCAGGTAACGGTGCCAAAACTTGGTACACACCTCTCACTTGCATATGCCAAAAATGAGATTGTAATAAAATGTGGCCAAGTTTAAATTTGTAAAATGCCACTACCACTACTAATTGCTAATGTAGCAAGAGTAAGTAAGGATCGTCCCAAGGAAAAAATAAGGTATTCTGGAATCAATGTTGGATTAGTAGGTCAAATGATTAAATAGGGTTTGATTAGTTCAATTACACTAATGGTTCAATTAAGACAACACAATTAAGTGACAATCTAGAGATTAGGGAAAACAGTATAAGAGAAAGGTCTTGGGGCTTAGAGTTCACCACTAAGCTTCACTTCACCAAACACTATCAATTGTAAATTAATGGGGAAATTCATGTTGTAAATTGTGTGTGTGTGTGTATCATCAATTGAAAACTAAGTATGGATTGTAAATAAGCATAGATTATCTAATCAATCTTGTGAGTAGCACAACCTATCAAATAAGACCATTAACCATTCAGTTAAACCACAATTAATGCACACACAAAAATCTAGAGAAATGTATTTCTTGCACTTATAAGTATGGAACATCAAATAACAAGAATGGATTGTCTACCTATCTAGGAAATTAAAGCAATTACACTATAACTATGCTAATGACATGAAAATTAAACTAATTAAGCTAAGGAGGTGACACAATCCATCAAAAAATAAGCATGAACCATCAAATAAACCACAAGAGTAATCAATTAAGCACTATGCCTTGACCATCACTAGATTCATAATTTCAACACACATAGGCATGCATCAATTTCATAAAATCTAGAGAAAAGCACACGAACATAGGCATATGAATAAAATTAAATGATCAATTAAAAGAATTTATCAATACAAATCATGTAAAAATCATAAGATCTATATTTATTCATGGTCAAAACATCAATTACAACTAAAATCCCCAAAAATATACAAAAGACTAGGTTTAGGAAACATGCTTTGGGGCTATCTCTAGCCCTAAGAGAAGGATTTAGCCACTCATTGTAGTGGCCATGGAACCTTCAAGGGTTAGCTTCAAGGTTGGCATCATTTTCTTCCTCTTTGCTTTCTTCCCAAAACCCTAGTTCTAGAGAGAGAAACTATTTCTATATTTGGTAAAATATCAACTAGAGGAACCTTTTACAAATCATTTCATTTCATCTATATACAAGCCTCTTGGAGTAGGCAACAAGTTAGAAATACTGCATTTGATTGGTGGAAATTCGCAGCTACAAAAGTTAGTAGAGTCCGGGCGCGATCGGGAATTAGACAGCACACTGCCAGTAGTTATTTCAATCTATCGAACATAACTTCGATTGATCCAACACTTGCTTCAATTGATCAAAGCTGACGTGGCTAAGATATTTTGACACATGGCAACCTTATCCATTGAGCTAGCACCACCTTAATCTCGATCGACTATAGCTTTCTTCGATCAATCAGGACTTCCTTCAATCGATCGAAGTCCCTTCAGGTGCAATTTTTCTGACTTCTTCCGGATCTTCTCCTTAGCTCCAAAGTTGAGCTAAAAGGCTCGTTTTAGTCTTTTTAAACCTTATTGACTTGACATAGAAAAAAACACAAATAAGTACTAAAACATAAAAGTAAGATAGATGATTGAACTAAAATTTAGATGCTAAAATGCATCACATTTGAGCACTTATCACTTAGCAGTGAAATCTACGCCCTAAGTTTCTCTTTTTTGATTCCATTTTATTTAACTATTGCACCGTTTTAGTTGTTATTACACTTAGCTTAATTCTAGGATTAATTAACTCAAACAAACCATCATTGATACAATCAAATGCTCATTGATATTAAGTTTAATTCAAGCCTATAGTCCTTGTGTTCGACCCTCACTCACACTACTCTACGTAGTTGTAGTAGGATACTTGACATTATGATTGTTTGTCACCACACTTTATCATATTACTGAACATTTATAAAGTTGTTAAGTTTATAAATATTAGAAGTCGAGAGAGGCGATCAACTTTTTGGTGACGTTGTCAAGGACTTCGGTTTAATTGAATTGAATTTAAGATTGGCGTGTACTTGATTGCTAGTGTTAGGATTTCGTACATATTCTTTTCTCATTGTTCATTTCCATGTGCAATTATGTACTAGAGCAAGGGAGAAGCACACTTTGGGCTTGTCGCACATAAACTTGGGACCTTTTGCGAGCGTATCTCTACCTCTTGACTTATATTGTGCACTTTCTAGCTTAGTTGTTGCATAGCCCTTGTCTAGGCTATTTTGATTTTTTATTTTATTTTATTTTTATTGTTCAAGTATAGGTCCGTGTCGTGGCCATTTATTTTTTATTTTTCATTATTGTTGAATTGAGGAGAACAAGATCAATGTATGTGGATGTTTTGGTGGCGGGTTGTTGAAGTTGTTACGATTGTTGTGATGATATGTGTTGATGTGATGTATACATGGTAGAAGGTCTCTTGATACTTCTCTTGTTCCTATCCACCTCAAAATTGAATCTACTCTTCAGGAACTTAGAAAGCGAAATAGGAAACTTCTTCCAAATCACATTTAATCATTTGATCAAATGGCAAATAACGACAATCCACAAGGTCATGTTGGACCACATCATGAACCAAACCCTCCTCGGGTACCACATAATAAACTTCATCCATTGTCTCATCCTTCTAGGATTCTTTGAGAAAAATTACACTCCAACCACCTATAATTCTCCAATTTGCTATCAGTTACCAAATTTTAATACAAATCATTATGAAATTAAGCCCGGAATCATCAAGATGTTACCTTTCTTCGGTGGCTTTTCATATGAAGATCCTTATAAATATTTGGATGACTTCTTAAAAGAGTGCTCCACTGTCAAAATCACGATTTACCGGAAGATGCTTTAAAATTAAAAATCTTTCCCTTTTCTTTCAAGGATAAAACAAATGTTTGGTTTAATGCTCTTGGGGCAAAGACTATTACTTCGTGGGACCACATGCAACAAGAGTTTCGTAGGAAATATTTCCCTACGAGTAAAACCACTTAAATAAGAACGGGTATAATGGGCTTCACCCAAAGTTATGGGGAGCAATTCCATGAAGCTTGGGAAAGGTTAAATGATTTGCTAAGAAAATGTCCTCACCATGAATTACCAAAATGACAATTGGTACATTGTTTTTATGAAAGTCTCTCCGGCACAAATAGGCAAATGATAGATGCTTCGTATGGGGGTACATTTTTGTTAAAACATGAAGATGAATTTTGGACACTTTTTGAAAACTTGAGTGAAAACTCAACGCATTGTGCTTCTTCTAACCATTCGGGTAGGCTATCCATATTAAAGGGAAAGAAGGTTGAAGATGTTCGTTATCTTAACAATTCTTTGGAGGTCAGTGCGGAGTTGAAAACTCTCATCCAAAGATTTGACCAATTCTTATTAGGTCAATCTTCTGCACCCCATTCAACCTTTCCTCATTCCACTCCAGATGAAGCTTGCATGATTTGTTCCAATCCCTACCATATCTCATGGAATTGTCCCAACGGACAGCCTACCCTATATGAACCTCAAGAGCAAGTAAATGCCACATTTTCACGCCCGGCCAATATTCCATACTCAAACACCTATAATCCTAGGTGGAGAGATCATCCAAATTTCTCATAGAGAAATCAAGGTACAAGTGCAGAGCTTTCCCAAGGAAAGTATGTACCACCTCATCGAGCTTTTAACCAAAATGTTTATGCTTAATCTTCTCATTCACCTCAATATTCTTATCACCAAAATATGAGTTATCCTTCAAATTCATATAATCAAGCACTTCCCAATTCTAATCAACATTCTCAATTTTCTCAAGCTCCTTCACATAAACTATTCTTTGAGGACAAAGTGTTGACTGCTTTGGGTAATCTTGGCTTATGCCGTGCCAATGCACTAAATTGCATGCAAAAGTGAAGTGTAGTGTGACCAAGTCTAAATTTAGAGATTGCCATTATCACTTCTAACTATAAATATAGCTAGGGTGAGCAGGGATTGTCCCAAGGGAAATGAAGTGTATTATGCTTGGAAATCAAGGTCAGATTAGTAGGTCGAGTGATCAAAGATGTTTTGATTGGTTAATTAAACTATAAAGTCAACTAAATGGATGCAAGGCAAAGCAATTGAAATAGAGTAAAATGTAAAGAATATAAGAGAGGGATCTTGGGACTTAGAGGTCACCACTAAACATCACCTTCCTAGACATGCAATGTGTAATGAATGAGAGGGGGATTATATGCCGCAATATTAGTGTATGTCATTGATTGAATCAACAAGCATGGATGACTAATTAAGTATACATTGTCTAGATAAACTAGTGAAAAGCACAACATATCAAATTAAGCCATTATTCCTTCCTTTAAGTCCACAATCAATACACATCATCAAATTAGAGAAATATACTACTTGCATTTATAAGCATAAAACATCAAACAACAAGCATGGATTGTCCTACCATCTAAGAAAGTAAGACAACTACACTACAACTAACCTAGGGATATGAAAATTAAGCTAATTAAACTAAGGAAGAGGTACAATCCATCAAGCAATGAGTATGAACCATCAAACAAACCACAAGAGTATTCCATTAAAGCACCATGCCTTGACCATCACTAAATTTATAGCATCAACACACATAGACATGCATCAATATCACAAAACCTAGAGATAAACACATGAATATCTATTCTAGCATACATAGACATATTTTGAAGTTGCTTAAGGATCCTTTGTGAGCTATTCTAACTTCTCTTGCTTAGTTAAATCGTCGGCCCTCATGGAGGTAATTTATTTTCATTGTTTATCTTGGCCCGTGTGGAGGCAATTTATTTCTTACATTTATTGAAAGCATGGGAGTATGGGATCAATATATGTGGAGGCTTGTTGTCGATTGACTTATTACGGAGGAGAAGTGTTTGCTGCTTGCTATTTATTGAGTTGTTGTTTATTTTGATTTGCATTGTGCATACATGGTCGTAGGTTTTGAATCATACTCTTGTCCCATTGATTTTTAATCTTGAATCGGTTGTTCGTAATACAAGGTGAAGGGGTAATTCAAATGAGTCCATTTCATCAATGGATGACCATAATGAGGATCGTGTTGAAGACCTTGGTCACATAGATCAATAAGGCATTCTTCATCCTAATGTGTATCAACAACATGATAATATGTAAGTACCATTTGGCATGCCTAGACCTTTCGTTCCAGAACCACAAAGCCAAGTTCCAATGAGAATACCAAGGCCATTTTTTGTACCACCTCCACCTCCCGTTGTTCAAGTAAATTACGGGGCTTATGTAAAGCCATAAATTGCACATCCTTCCCTTGCTTTAAGAGACTATTATGTGCCTAATGAGTATAATGCACTAACATGCATTCAACTCCCTTAATTTAGAGCACACCGTTATGAGATTAAACCACAAACAATTTAAATGCTTCCCAATTACCATGGCCTACCTAATGAAGAACAATATAAGCATTTGGATGAATTTCTTGAAGTTTGTTCTACCGTGAAATACACGAACATGCCGGAAGAAGTTTTGAGGTTAAAACTCTTCCCTTTCACCCTAAAGGATAAAACAAAATATTGGTTTAACAATTTGAGACCTTTTTCTATAACTTATTGGGTAGAGAAGCAATAAGAATTCTTGAGAAAGTTCTATCCCGTGTTAAAAACCAATGCAATGAGAACTTCAATTCATGAATTCTCACAAGAGGATGGGCACTCACCATAATCCCGGGTGGAAGAACCATCCAAATTTCTCTTGGAAAAGCTAAAAGGAAGGCTCAAACCCTCCCCAAAGTGGTTTCCAAAGCTAGTATGTTCCACCTCCTATGCAAAGCCAAGATTCCTAAGGTTATCATTCATCTTACCAAGTATTAAATGGAAATCAATTTTCAAACTCTCATTTTCCAAACCAATCATTATATTCTCAAGGTAATTCAAGAAGTCTCGCATTTGAAGAGAAAGTTTTATCCGTTTTGGGTACTTTGGAAGCAAATACTCAATTGCTTCACTCTCACTCACAATCGATTACAAAGCTAGAAACCCAAGTCGGGCAAATAGTTAGCACGTTGAATGCGAGGGAGAAAGCAAAAATGCCATTGTATCCCCCACCAAAGCAACAATTTGTTGTGGAGACCAATTCTCCTTCGGAAGGTCATACACTTGAACATGTGAATGCGGTGACCATTTTGAGAAGTGGTAAGGTTATTGACAACCAAGTCCAATAAAGAGAGTAAACCAGTACAACCTAAAGTTGACACTCATCTCGTCTCACATTCCACTCCTCCTTCATTGAATGTTAAAGACCTTATTGTTGAAAATGTTTCAAATAATATTTTTGAAAAAGCTTTTGAGCCTAAGGCTCCTTTCCCGGATGCTTTAAAAGTATCTACCTCTCTTGAAAGGCAACAAAGTAAAGCCAATGAAATCATTGATGTGTTTAGGCAAGTAAAAATCAATCTTCCTCTCTTTGATGCAATTCGACAAATTCAGGCTTATGCCAAATTTTTGAAAGATCTTTGCACTCTTAAGAGGAAGAACAAAAGCCAAACATAGAGAAAAGTTGTTTTAACTAAGTAAGTGAGTTCTATCTTGCAACACAACACCCTCCCAAAATTCAAAGACCCCAATTCACTAACCACTTCATACACTATTGGTGATCATGTTATCAATCGGGCTATTTTATATTTAGGAGCGAGTGTGAATCTTCTCCCTTATTCGGTTTATGTTCAAGTGGGCTTAGGTGATTTGAAACCGACGTCGGTAGTTTTGCAACTAACCAACCGATCAATTAAGAAGCCCTGGGGTATCATTGAAGATGTTTTGATTAAAATTGATAAGTTTTTCTTCTTGATCGATTTCGTTGTCATTATGGAACCGGTCCCAAATCATAAGAGCCAAATTCTCGTTATCCTTGGCCATCCCTTCTTGGCTACCGCTAATGCCAACATCAATTATAGGATAGGGATAATGAAAATCTCATTTGGCCACATGAAAGTGAAGTTGAACATTTTTAACCTAACCCCCAACTCTATGGACAAACATGAAGATATATGTGTTGTTGAAAAATGCTTTGTAAATGAATTTGAAAAGAATGAGTCCTTACTTGGTGTTAAAACATCAAATGTTTACCTTCTAAAAAGATTTTAAAAGAAATTATTTTCAAGTCTAGTGTTGAACGGGCATGGAAGCCCAAAAGTTTTGTTGACCAAAGGCCGTCAATTTCACTTGAACAAAATCCAACAAGTTCCTTAGGGAATAGTTTGTTGGGTGGGGTTCGAAGTTCTATTCACTATGCTGAGAAGGGGATGTCTACCAAGATCTTTGATCCAGGCTAAAAGAGCATGATGTCTTGCTAAAGACCTTAAAGACTAGCGTTTCATAGGGTTTGCCAACCCTATTCCTCTCTCATTTCTTGTTTTGATATTTTCTGCGTCGTCTATATATGAGTTGAAATTGAAAAATCCAGTATTCGGGCAATTTCTTGCATTTCCTGCACTTCCAGTGAAGTTTCGATCGATTAAAGCCCAGTTTGATTGATTGATGTTCCACTTCGATCGATCGAACCTTGTGAATTTGTGGTTTTTCGTCTTCCATCTTGATCGATTGAAGCTCATTTCAATCGATCGAAATCTATTTGGATCCATCAAAGTAAGTGATCGACCGATCGAAAACCCCTTCGATCATTTGAAGTTATGTCTTTTGAACTTTCGAAAAATGCTTTGGCCGTTGGCCTTCCTACCCCAACATTATTTTTTATTATTTTTTCTCTCTCCTCCCTTATTTTTCTATTTTCTTTTTCTTTTTCTTTTTTTTTTTTCTTCTCTTTCTCTCTCTACCTCCCTCTCAACTCTCGGTGTTCTCAGTCTCTCCCCGATTTCCCTCTCTCTTCTCTCTCAATCTCAATCCCTCATCTCTCTCCACCTCTGGCGAGACCAATCGACACCAACCCCAACCTCTACCTTCTCTCCTCACGTCGGTGAACCCTAAGCCCCATCTCACCACCGTCGTCCAACCTCCATTTTTATTGGCGAGGCTTTTGGCCAAAAAGGCCAAACCGTCATCTCTTTCGCTTTATCTCTCTCGGGTTCCCTCTTATTCATCGCCTCCGG